ACCCATCCAGCTTGGCCACCAGCAGCCCCGGGGTGCGACCAGCCCGGCCCAGCCCTCCGCCCTTTAAACACCGTCGGGGCCAGAGCCCAAGGAGAGTGACGGTGGCGAGCCCCTCCCCTGGCAGCCCCGGAGGAGCGAAATTCTTGTCCTCGCCCCGGTGTCAGTTTTCTGCCCCGCCCAGGCCTGACACGTCCCCGACCGGACGCCCCTCTGATTCCCTCTTCCTCCTTTGTGCGATCCGTCCCGAGTCCATAGTCGCTCGCAGTCTTGGTTGCAGGGACCCTAAGTCCGTAGCCTCGTCTGATTTCATGGGCCCTGCAGCCCCGACTTCCCTAGACGGTACCACGACTCCTCAAGGCCCCCAGGGCTCTGGCTTGGGAGCCCCGTCCAATGCGCGGCCCCTTTTCTCACCTGGGGACATCTTCCCCCAACGAAACTCGCCTGGCCGGGGCCCCTGGGTTACCCGGGACTCGGGGCTAGGATAGAGGGCAACCACACTGCTCAAGAGATCGCAATGAAGTCCGTAGATCTCCAGGCTAGAGCCGCAGAGGGAGGTGGCACGGTGGAGAACGAGGGGCTGGGCGTGGACAGTAGCCCTGGGGTCGTCCGGAGTCCTCGCGCCCTCAACGCGCGAAGGCAGTGGACTGACATCTGCGCCGAAGTCGCGCGTACCCCGGGGAGGGTCGGGACCCTGGAAATCTCGGACGCCGCAGCCGTCCAGGGCAGTCATCGCTTTTCCCAAGCCTGGGAGTCCGGGGCCCCGCAAGGTTTCTCCGCGCTGTGGTCTCTGGAGCGCAGTGCGGAGGGAGTCAAGCTCTCTGCCGGCTGTCAGGGGACAAGCCGAAAACAGGGACGTCTCTGCAATGCGTCCGACGCCAGCCGTCCTGTCCTGCTGCCTCCGGGGGATGCTGCAGCCCGGGTTCTCCCGTCCCCCCACGCTGCCCGGCTCTCGGCCTCCCCTGCTCCCCGCGCTGTAGGGTGGCGGAGGATGGACCCAGGTTGACGCGCCGCGCTGGGCTGGGTACCTGGGAAGAGCGCCCGCCTCCCGGACTCGGAGTCGGGCACCTGTGAGAAAGAGGAGAAAATTCAGGCCTGGTGCTCAAGGCTCAGAGATGAGGAGACCTCCCCATCCCTCCAAATTCCTGCCCGCGGTGTTGGGGCTGACCTCCTGGAAGCTGGCCTCTCCCTGGGTATTCCCCAGCGTTACGCGGGGCTGTGGATCTAATTTCAATTCATTTGAAAAACAAAAGGACCAACCCTTCCTGACTTTTGGCGGTGGAGGAGGCTTTTAGGTTGGGGCCAGCGGTTCGATCGATCCAGGAAAGAGTTTGGGTTTGGGGGTTAAAGGGCCCAGGTTGAGTCAGCGACTTACTGGTGGTGCAGCCCCTAGGCCTCCCAGATCGTAGTTCCAAATTTTATGTAAAACAACTAATTTATGGAGCCATTTAACAAATGGCGGAAAGAAGTGAGAGACCCTCTGTTGGGACGTTGGCCTCTCCCCTTAGAAGTGAAGCCACTTCAGAAGTGGTGGGTGAACTGAAGGCAGTTCCCAAGCAGTGAAGAGAAAAGAAATACCCCGAAATGGTTCTTTGAGGTCGGCTCTTCGGCTGAACTCTGCCCCCTTTTTCCTTCCCCCTTTCCTAAAGATTTCTAATTTTTCGCAAAGGAATGCTAGTAGTGGGAGTCCCAGGTGCCTTTTACGAAGCTGCCCTCCCCCTCATCCCCATCACACAACCTTGGTGGAATAACACAATGATTTGATAGGAAGAACTAATGTTATCTGCAGTTAACTGCACTACTGTGAGAATAAAATCAGAGATGTTGAATTTTAAAGAATAGCTTAGGTCATCTTTTGCAATGTAAAGGAATTTTAAAAAAGGACGTCAGTTCCTTCCAAATTCTCTTGAATTTTAATAGCCTTTCTTTCTGTAAATACTATAACTCTGTAACACTCGTGAGTTTCAGGACCTCTAAGAAAATCAAATGAAACTTCCTGTAATTTCCCTCAATTATACTTTACAGAAATCATTAATATTTGTGCCATGGATATATATGTCCATATCTTTTTCACCCTTCTTTCCTCTCTCAGCCTAATTTCCATCTTCCATCTCCACTGTAATAGTTTCCTTATCTTTCAACAGACTGGACTCATAAAATGAATTTCAGTAGAGGGACTGCAGTCATTTTGGAGGAAAATGTGTTAACCCTTAAATGGTCTTGCATGGAACTTTGATGAGAATTTTCCAAGAGAAAAAAAAAAATCTCGGGAAAGAAATAACAAGGAAAAAGACTGTGCCCTGCCTGAGAGTCCTGCTGGGGTTCTCTAAACAGAACAGCCCTCCACACCCGCCTCAAGCCTCTGATCCATTTCTTTCTCCTTTATTTTCAAAAGTGATCCCTGCTGCCTACATGGAGGATAAGTCTCCCCAGCATTCCACCTT